TAACCGCAGCTTCTAATTGTATACCCCAAACTTCGAGCAGGCATTCTCAGAAGTGTGTGCCTTGGTGGTCTCCTGCTTGTGCTCGTGCAGTACGTTTGAAACGCACTGCATGGGGCAGGTACCGGTACAATAGAACCACTGAGAGACTTCTTGATTTTAAGCAGAAGCGTGCAATCGCTCGCCGTGTCATCCGTGACGCTAAACGCACTTGCTGGCGAGATTATGTCTCCACCATCACCTCTGCTTCCTCTGAGTACAGTCTGGAAAAAAGTATGAAAACTGAGTGGTAAATATTCTCCTGACCTGGCTCCTGTTCTGCGGGTTGCCGGTGTTGATATAGCAAACCCACTAGATGTTGCCAATGAAATTGGCAATCATCTGGTCCGTATTTCTCAGGGACTCCATCTATGCCCCTCATTTCTTTCCTCAAAGTCTGCCAGAGAGTTAGCACCCTTGAACTTTTCTTCTCTCAGAGAAGAACAGTATAATGTGCCTTTTACACTTCAAGAACTGGAGGCAACACTATCGGTTTGCCGATCATCGGCAGCCGGGCCTGACGACATTCATATTCGTATGCTACAACATTTACATCAGTCAGCCCTTGCAGTCCTATTACGCCTTTACAACCTTATTTGGTCACAAGGAGTTCTTCCACAGCTGTGGAAATCTGCCATTGTTCTCCCTTTCCGCAAACCAGGCACTACGGGACATGAAGCCTCCCACTATCGTCCCATTGCTCTTACCAGTGCAGTTTGCAAAGTGATGGAACGCCTGGTAAATAAAAGTTTAGTGTGGTATTTAGAGACACGCAACAGTCTCTCCACTCATCAATATGGCTTTTGTAAGGGATGTTCTACCATAGACCCCTTACTACGCTTGGATACGTATGTTCGTAATGCCTTTACGAATAACCACTCAGTTATTGCCATATTTTTTGACCTTGAGAAGGCATATGACACAACTTGGAGGTATAATATTTTAGCCCAAGCCCACTCCTTAGGCCTTCGAGGCAATCTACCATCCTTCCTTAAGAACTTTTTAACTGACAGGCATTTCCGTGTTCTGGTTAATAATGTGCTTTCCCCGGACTTTATCCAAGCTGAAGGTGTACCCCAGGGATGTGTTCTGAGCACAACACTTTTTCTCCTTGCTATTAATGATTTGGCCTCTAGTCTTCCATCAAATATTAGGTCATCACTCTATGTTGATGACTTTGCTATTGCCTGTGCAGGTGCTGACTGTCACCTCATTACAGTTTCTCTCCAGCATGCGGTCGACCGTGTTTCCAATTGGGCCACCACACATGGGTTTAAGTTTTCCAGCACTAAAACCCACCAAATTACTTTCACTAGACGCTCTGTCATCTCCGATCATCCTTTGTATCTCTATGGCTCCCGTATCCCTGAACGTGATAGTCAAGTTTCTGGGCCTCCTCTTTGACCGTAGGTTATCCTGGAAACCTCACATTACCTCTCTGAAGGCAACTTGTCACAGCCGGCTGAACCTTCTTAAAACCCTTGCTCACCTTTCATGGGGAGCTGATTGTCGAACCCTCCTTCGCCTACATTCCACCCTCATTTTATTGAAACTTGATTATGGTGACCAGATCTATTCAGCGGCATCTCCTGCTACTCTCTCTAGCCTTAACCCCATTCATCACCAAGGATTACGTTTATGCCTTGGTGCTTTTTGCTCTTCCCCTGTTGAGAGCCTCTATGCAGAAGCGAACGTTCCATCCTTATCCGATCGCCGTGATGCCCATTGCCTGCGCTACTATGTACGCTCTCATGATCTCCGCAATCCTTCCATTTATAGAATGGTCACTGATATTAGTAGACATTCTTTATTTGTTCACAGCCCCTGTTTACTCCGTCCCTTCTCTCTTCGCCTTCATTCGCTCTTGTCTTCTCTTCAATTACCACCTTTCTATGTTCATGTAGCATCTCACTTTTTCCTATTTCCCTGGGAAGTTCCAGCTGTTCGAGTCTGTTCTTTCTCTCTCCCTTGCTCGAAAGCCCTACTGTCTACAGTCGCTTCCCGCTCTCTTTTTCTTGACCACTTTCACTCTCATTCTCATGCCATTGCTGTGTACACAGATGGCTCTAAGTCTTCTGACGGCGTAGGATTCGCAGCAGTGTTTCCGGACAGCATCGTACGAGGGCATTTACTGTCTTCGGCTAGTATTTTTACTGCTGAATTGTATGCCATCCTTGCAGCACTTATCCGTATTGCATCTATGCCTGTGTCATCATTTGTGGTTGTCTCAGACTCCCTTAGTGCTTTACAGGCTATACAGAAATTTGATACACCTCACCCCTTAGTCCTCCGTATCCAACTTTGGCTACGCCGCATCTTTACCAAGCATAAAGATATTGTTTTTTGTTGGGTCTCTGGTCATGTTGACGTACAGGGCAATGAACAGGCAGACACTGCTGTGCGGTCAGCAGTACATGACCTACCAGTTTCATATACATGTAGAGGTATTCCATTTACAGACTATTTTGCTGCAATATCTTCCCACCTTCACACCCGTTGGCAACAACGTTGGTCTACTATGCTCAGCAACAAACTTCAATCTATTAAACCGAGTATAGGTTACTGGCCGTCTTCTTATCACCAGTGTCGAGGTTGGGAGACTACTCTCTCCCGTCTTCGCATTGGCCATACTCGTCTCACTCGTGGATATCTCATGGAGAGGCGCCCTGCTCCTCTCTGTGAGAATTGCCAAACTCCATTATCAGTCAGCCACATTCTGTTGGACTGCCCACTTTATCAACGAGCACGCAGAATTTACCTCCTTCGTCGTCTACGCTCCGCTGCTCTCTCTTTACCTTCCCTTCTCGCTGATGGACCCACCTTTCATCCGGACTCTCTCATTGACGTTTTGACAACAACTGACTTACTTCACAAATTCTGATACCTTCAGCCCTTTCTACTTCAGTCTCTTGCTACCCTCTACCCCCGTACTATCCCCTGCCCTGCTGTTTTCTGTAACCTACTGATCATCCCTCCTCCCTTCTGCCACCCAATACCCTCGCTTCCTTCCCTACCCTGCAGCGCTGTATAGCCCTTGTGGCTTAGCGCTTCTTTTTGATTATAATAATAATTGAGAGCAGTACTTTGTGGTTCGGACATGTAGAGAGAATGGAGCGAAACAGTGACTTCAAGAGTGTATCAGTCTGTAGTGGAAGGAAGGCGGGGTAGGGGTCGGCCCAGGAAAGGTTGGAGGGAGGGGGTAAAGGAGGTTTTGTGTGCGAGGGGCTTGGACTTCCAGTAGGCATGCGTGAGCGTGTTTGACAGGAGTGAATGGAGACAAATGGTTCTTAATACTTGACGTGCTGTTGGAGTGTGAGCAAAGTAACATTTATGAAGGGGTTCAGGGAAACCGGCAGGCCGGACTTGAGTTCTGGAGATGGGAAGTACAGTGCCTGCACTCTGAAGGAGGGGTGTTAATGTTGCAGTTTAAAAACTGCAGTGTAAAGCACCCTTCTGGCAAGACAGTGATGGAGTGAATGATGGTGAAAGTTTTTCTTTTTCGGGCCACCCTGCCTTGGTGGGAATCGGCCAGTGTGATAATAAAAAATAATAATGTTCTGTGTCAAAAATAATCTCCAGATGTAATGTTTTCTCTTTAGTTTAGCATTTAAAAGAGATACACTGGTTTATTTGAATGCTGAAAAGGCAAAAATCAATCTCTTATTGAACTACAGTGGACCCCCGGTTAACAATATTTTTTCACTCCAGAAATATGTTCAGGTGCCAGTACTGACCGAATTTGTTCCCATAAGAAATATTGTGAAGTAGATTAGTCCATTTCAGACCCCCAAACATACACGTACAAATGCACTTACATAAATACACTTACATAATTGGTCGCATTCGGAGGTAATCGTTATGCGGGGGTCCACTGTATATTGAGGTCAGGTGAGCAACAGTGCGATTCACGAAAAATTAGTCTTTCAATCTAATAAGATTAGAGGACCATTGCAGTAGGCCTATTGGCTAGCACTAGATAGGTTCTACTCTTCCCAGTTTTACCACTTGGTGACAACTATTGTCAGAGTAGTAAGAACAAAGGATTACAGTAGGCCTACTGGCCCATTCTATCAGGTTCTACTCCCACTCAGCCAATCCCACTCATATTCAGCTAAACTAAAAATATTGCTTTCCTACTTAAGAACACAGGAGCATTAGTATGCCTATCAGCCCATGCTAGGCAGGTCCTACTCTCAGTCGACCATTCCCTCTCATATACAACTCCATTATTTACAAAACATTGTTTTCCTTGGGACAGAGTTGTAAAAGCGACAAACTTTTACAACTTCCGTGGCATAATATAAAGCTTTATTACAGCAACCTTTTGCTTGGAGACCAACCTTTATCAAGTCAACAGAATACATGGTAAACATTGATTTACACGGTTGAGAGAGCAGGTGGCAAGGAAGCATGAGGTGTAAACCTGCCTGTCAAAGCTGCATCTCCAAGCAAAATGTTTTCTCAGTGAACGTTTTCATTCTGCCATAGTGCCTTTTTATTACTTTACTACATGTTAAGTCATACCATGCAGGTCCTTCTATCATCCAACCATTCCTGCTTCTATACAACTACAGTATTGCCAAATAAGCATTGTATTGTGCATGTTTATACTTTTTCATTATCAAATAATATTTCAAAGAGATAGAGATGGGTAACTTCATTGTTCATAACATGTCCCTCAAATTGTGGTCACATGCACAGTACTGTAACTGACCATCTCAGCATTTTAGATTTTTAGCATGTTTAGCTTGTTATGATGCAGGATTATATGTTGTGAATATAGAACTGAAAGGCAGAAAAATTATCCATGAAGCCAACTCCCTACTTTTTTGACAAAAAAACAAAAAGCCTTTAGAGCCTTTAGATTATCTACACTCTAGTATATACAGTGTATTTGTTAATGGTTCTTTTAATTATGTGTTAATATACATAACTTAACTCAAATAATGTGGAAAATATTTCAGGTCAGCCAACGTTGGAGAAGTGCAAGAAACTGAAGAAAAAGTTGGAACAGAAGAAGGAGCTTGAGGAACTAGATACAGGAAACATCATAACTACTACTGGTGAGTGAGATGGCTCTTTATAATGAGAGAACTACACAGTAGTGTCTGCAATATTAATTATACCCTGTAAATATACTTAATGTTTTTTAACATCAGCCATCTCCTGTTGAGATAGTGACCTAACAAAGAAAACTTTCATTGTTAGTTATTCAATCATTGTCTTGCCAGAAGCACACTGACATACTTCAGATGATCCTCCAAACTGCAAAATCCCCACTCATTTTTCAGAGCAAGGACTCAAGTCTAGATAACAGGTTTCCCTGAATCCCTTCAAAAAATGTTTCCTTGTCCACAGTCTAGCAGCATGTCAAATCATAAACACCACTTGCCTTCACTCCTAACATGCTCACACAAGCTTGTTGGATGTCCTTTACCCTCTCCCTCCAACCTTTCCTAGGACAGCCCCTACCTCTTCTTCCCTCCACCTCAGATTTATATTCCCTCCCAGTCATCCTATTTTGCTGCATCCTCTAAATACCCAAACCACCTCAACAACCCCTCTTCAGCCCTCTGAATAATAATCTCCAAACTGAATTCTCTGCATAATATTCATACTATACATTGCTCTCAAACACTACATTTCTACTGCCTCCAGCCTCATCCTGACTGCAGCATTACAAACCCATACTTCACAATTCCATCAGTTTCAAAGCTATAAGTTGACTGGAAACATTTTATATACTGTATTTAGGTAAATGTTTAAAATTTCAAGGTTGAATCAAATTACTAGTACTGAAATTTAATGTACAGCATATTATTATTATTATAATCAAAAAGAAGTGCTAAACCCACAAGGGTTATACAGCACTGAATGTACAGCATAGGATTCCATTTCCTGGATAAAATTGTCTTTGTTTACATCTGTTTATCAAATTTCAGGGCTGTGTCAAACTGTTCATAGAATTTTGTTACTCTGATTCATTTCCCAGCTTGTGGATATGCAGGTTTTTTTTTTCTCTCTTTTTTTTTTTTTTTTTTTTTTCATTTATCCCTTACTTCACAGGTCGTGGACAGCGAAATGCATTCAGCCTGTATGCTTCTCGGGGACAAAAAGCTGAAGAATCATCTGACGACCAGGCTCCCCAAAAAACTTCTAGATTAAAGTATATTTCTCAATCTGATTCAGAGTAAACTTCATGTAGTGTAAAGTTATATAGCTTGTTGTCACTTCATTGTGCTTATAGGAATAAATGTATGTTCATTTTGTACATTCAATTTTTTTGTAACAAATATTTTGTTCTAATTTTTTAATTCCTTTTTTTATTGTCAATATATTCTCTGAAGGTTAATAATAAGTATTACTGTATCAAATATATTTATTAATCACAAACCTTCAAAGTCCAACTTATGGATGCACCACCTAAAGCTTTAGGTATACTGTATTTAGTCCTTCAGTTATTTACTGTATTCGGAAGTTAGTCCTGGGAAGGGTCTATAGAATTTAGGGGAAACAGTAGCATTCATTAAATTCAGGTGAAAAAATTTAATGAATGAAAGGTAGACAAAGTAATATAGATAACTGGTTTCTGAAAGCAAGCAAAAAATAAGTACCTGATGTCCAGGAAAAGGCAATAGATTATTGATAGACTAGCAGTGCTGAATGACCCATGTGGATCTTTTGTGTGTATGTAATAATATTGATATCTGTGTGGGTAGACTTAACAATGTGAGAGAATGAGGTATGTCGAATGCCTTTTAATAACCCAAAAACAATAAAACCAGTTGCTGGCCAACTGAAAAAGATTCATGAATAAATGCATACAACACCTGGGTATCTATTCCTGTAGTATTTCACTGCAGCAGGCTTTTTTTTTTTTTTTAACTGAAAACAGTACTTGGGTGACTTTTATACTGAAAATGGTTTAAAAGTCACTGAAATGTTTTAGGTGTGCAGCAAGTAAAACATTTCAGTAATAAAGATATCCAAGTGTTGCACATGTCATATTCATCAACATGTTGGTATTGTGTATTAATGTATAAAAAAGATTTGTGGGCAAATATTTAAAAAGGGGAATTCCACTTTACTAAGCATTATTATTATAATCAGAACTAAGCACTAAACCCACCAGGGCCATACAGTGCTGCACTTGACTAAACAGCACTGTATGACATGGGTTTAGTGCTAAACCCTTTGTGAGTGGGTACTGTAAGGCTATGGCTCTGAAATGTGGGTCAGTGCTGTAGTTCTATATGATGAGCTGTGAGTGGTAAATTTTGGCCTAGATACGAGAGAATGGGTCTATCATATAAAAAAAAAATTCTTGCATTTTTTCCTATCATGCACTGCGTGAGGCGACTGTTTTTGGTTTAATTCTTTCACTGTCGAGAGCTGTGATCCTGAACTCGCTCTGTCGAAAAATATTAAAAAAAAAAAAAAAAAAAATAGCAAAATCTTAAGAATATTTTTGAGTGTTTTACAGCAAAATTTTTTTTTTTTTTGTGATCAATATTTACCGAGATGTAGAGGCGTGAAGTTGACAGAGTGAACCACTTATGACAACATCGGCCACTGCCTCTCACTCGGTAATATTTTTACTTTCAATATTTTTTCTTTTATTTTTTAATATTTGAATTTATCAAGTAACTTTTGTGACCTGTGAGACCAATATAATGTATATCTATCCACTTGTTGTATGCAATACAATAACTGCACAAATATTATTATCATTACAATGTTTACAAAACTTGTTTACATAAACAATAAAAAGTTGTTTATTACTATAGTTCTATAATAAAAATATATATATAATATATATAATATATATATATATATATAATATATATATATATATATATATATATATATATATATATATATATATATATATATATATGATGAAGGATGAGGTTAATCATAGAATTGATGAGGGAAAAAAGGTGAGTGGTGCGTTGAGGTATATGTGGAGTCAAAAAACGTTATCTATGGAGGCAAAGAAGGGAATGTATGAAAGTATAGTAGTACCAACACTCTTATATGGTTGAAGCTTGGGTGGTAAATGTAGCAGCGAGGAACGGTTGGAGGCAGCGGAGATGTCCTGTTTAAGGGCAATGTGTGGTGTAAATATTATGCAGAAAATTCGGAGTGTGGAAATTAGGAGAAGGTGTGGATTAATAAAAGTATTAGTCAGAGGGCAGAAGAGGGGTTGTTGAGGTGGTTTGGTCATTTAGAGAAATGGATCACAGTAGAATGACATGGAAAGCATATAAATCTATGGGGAAGGAGGGGGGTAGGGTCGTCCTCGAAGGGTTGGAAGGAGAAGGTATTTTAGTGGAAGAGCTTTGGACTTCCTCAGACGGTGAGCGTGTTAGATAGGTGAATTGGAGACGAATGGTACTTGGGACCTGACGACTGTTGGAGTGGAGGGTAATTTGTGAAGCGGAAAATATAAAAAAAAAGGAAAAAAAATTAATTTCATTAAGTCGTACTTTTGAGTCTTGTAAATGGAAATACAATGCTGTTTTCTTTTATTTTACCAGAGAGGGGTTGGGATAGTTGCATTTGGAATATTTTGTAATCGCTACTGCTCTCACTCGTAAATTTTGTATTTTGCACTCTTGCAAAAACTATGTATAATTGCGAGTGTAGTAAGTGACCTGTGAGATCAATATAATTATTCTTCTTGTGATTTCATATATTTGTTCAAGATCATCTTCTTCAGTGTGAGACAAACTTGTTATAAACAAAAAAAATTGTTTATTACTATATATATATTATATATATATATATATATATATATATATATATATATATATATATATATATATATATATATTATATACACATAACATACATACATACATACATATACACACACACACACACACACACACAGTCACTGGACATGTTCCTAGAACTACAACAGCTTGTGGAAGGTGTGTGCATGGCCTTTGTTGTGGATGTGCTGAGAGCTGTGTGGCTGGTGTCACAATGATGCATTACAAAATCATCACTACTCACATGGAAATAAGTCACTTTGTCTGACTTTTTTTTGGGTTGTCCTAGGTTGATGGTTGCCTGGGTCATCCTTCCTTCCTCTCATCTCTTCCTTTCCTCCCTTCCTTCTGGTTTCCTAGGCATTGTTTTGGTCACAAACTCCTCAAAACCATGAAATTCATCTTCACTGACACTTTCATCTGTGTTAGAACTATACTTGGGCAGAGAAGAGTCCCAGATTTGCAAGAAGTCTGACATTTCTTACTGCTAGGCATGGTGAACAAGGACTACTGAAATGGCATTCCCACAATGCACCACTGGCTCCCCGATTTTTGTTTTATACTGTGCACATTGACAATGGAGACCCATTTTCTCACATGTAGGCCTACCAGCTTTCTCCTGCTAGATTTGAAGCTACTAGAATTTTGGCGTAGTACTATGGCACCAACACTGGCTCGTAAGCTGTAGTGTTACGGCACCAACAGTGAAAGGGTTAAAACTGACTTTGCAGTGTTTTTTTTTATGGATTTGGATTTTATGCTTGTATTCTCGGTTTCTTGGTCTCATTTGATAGAATGGAAAATATATTACAGAAATATAGATGATTTTGATTGGTTTCAGTACTGAAAGTTGCTTGAAATTGAGCTCAAAGTAGCAGAAATGTTTGATTTTTGCCGATATTCCAGAGTACATGAATTGCGTCACCCATCCAGTACACGTCTAACTGGTCAATCTGAGTTTAGGAATGCACTGACATTATTCATACAATTATTACAATAATGCAGTAGTCTGCATAACAGTAAATCTTCTATTTTTGTGTGAATAAAAATTCAAAATGGAAAGCAAGCGTAATATACAAGGCCTGGGAATGTAACTAAGGGACAGAGGAAATGTTTTTTAAGTGCCAGGAATGTCTACATTGTTTATTCTGGACCCTATTTTTAAATTGGCAGTTTTTTTATTTTGTGTGGAATTGACAAATTACCAATTTCTGATCACGGTATTCGGTAGTTGAAATAGGTAAATAGGTGGCTTCGTGTACTCGGTAGAATAGAAGGAATACTACTGAAATAGCCATGAGTTTGGTCAACTGGAACAATGGAATTGGCTGAAAATAGGGCTCAAAGTGGGCAAAAACGCCGATATGTAAATATTGCCAAGACCTCTAACTTTGCAAGAACACAATTCTGTGAGCTTTCCTTCAAATTTTGTACTTTTGGTTTCATTACCTCTGAAAACAAAAAGATTTTCTATCATTTCATAAGAAAAAATAGTTACATATATTTTTTCTTACATTTTTCGACCATGAAAGCAATTCTCAGATCAGGGGTCCCTACACGGAAAAGGTTAAATTTGTTACATTACTGTTATATTTACTGATGCAAAATAATTCTCTAGTGGTAAATTATATTCTTCTGTAGCACTAAACTCATATTCAGTGCTGTCTTACAATGATACTCTAAAGAGCACCTCCCTGGTATCAAGGTACTTACATTGAAAGGACAATATTATGGATAACATGGTGCATTTTTTAAGCACCTGCACCTTAATCTAGGAATGGGGTAATATTGGCAAGAAGTTACCAGGCCTATAGCTCAGGAAAGCAGTGAAGAACTTAAGGTGCTCTGATAGGGTAAGTGTGTGTAATCCTGTACAGCTCCCTTGAAAAATGACAATAAAGTACTATACCTAAGAAAAGTAAAGGTATGTGTATAGTTTCAGCACCAAAAATGATGAAATATATTTATATATCTGTTAGTGATTCCAGAGATCATTACCAAACTACCTGGTCTCAAACCAGCCTGATAGTGGAAATAAAATATTACAGGAATAGAGAACTATTAAGAGAAACAGGAAAGTAAATACCAGTCAGCAGTGAATGTAAATAGAGGCATACAAGTTTTACCTGCCATATTGCATGTTTGCAGGATAATTTTAATCAAGGGTAAGTGCTAAATTTGTAGTTGTATAGGATCTGGGGAATTGGGAGATATTTAGATTTGATCCAAGGAGGGGAATAAGTCCAGATCTTTAGATCAAGAGCTGTCATAATCATCAAGGCACCTTCATTAGACAAAAAAAAAAAATAATAATAATGCAAGTGTGTAGAGCATTAAACAGGTTTCAGTTTCACTTATGATTGGAGAGTACCTAACTGTATAACTGCTGTCTACCAGCTACTATCCATGCAAATTAATTTAAGGTTTATTTTAAGAAGCTTTTCAAGTTGGACCTGCTAAATCATTATACTATCAATGTTTCAGGTCACCTGATTATTTACTTATAACACTTTGTGGCCTAGCGCTTCTTTTTGATTATAATAATAATAATACTTAACACTAATGGGGTTTTGGATTTAAAAGATGTTGACCTACTTGCACTTGAAGCAGAGGTGGTCATGCGGACTTCAGCTTTCTGAAATATGTTTTATTACCTGACAGTAACTGCAAGAATGTGGAGAGTATTTAAAGATCTGGATGTTAAAGGTAAGATGATGAAAATCTTGACTTTTTTTTTTTTTATATAACAATAACCTAAAAAATTTGGAAAGAATGTTAAATACTCATCAGAGTAAGGCTTGAATAAACCAAAACTGTCAAGAAAAATTAGTACATTAGCAATAATAAAATAAATGACATGTTAAAGAAGAGGGATAGCAAAAAGATAATGCTACTGTAGAAGAAAAAAAAGTTGACCTCCAATATGGGAAATCCCCTCCCCTTCAAAAATGGTAAGCCTTAAAGAAAAAAAGGACTATCTGAATAATCACAATCCTATCGTAAAGGGAAAGCTAGCACCATAGTTTCACAAGAACACTGCCCAGTTTCTTTATGCAATAATTTATTTTGAAAATATGAATTAAGCTATTAAACTCCCTAGTTTTCAAGTAAATAAGTAAATTAAATATTACCATTTTAGGCCTTTCAATTTCATGAACATTTTAAACATCTTTCAAAAATTAATTGCTATTGTGATGTAAGTACACATCTGGAAAGATAGCAGTTGAATGGATGATGGTGAATGTGTATCTGGATTGCCCTGCTTTGGCAGAAGATGGCCATCATCTCCACTCACTCCTAACTAACATGCTTACATGAACCTGCTGGATGCTTAAGCCCCTAAAACTCAAAAGCCTATTTTTACTCTCTCCCTCCAGCCATTTTAAACTTTTTTTTAAAACACAGGCTGTCTCTACCCAGGTAAGGGCATCCTGAAAAAGGACAAACACTTTCAGCATCATTCATTCAATCACTTGTCTTTCCAGAAGTGTGCTAACATTACAGCTCATGACTCAAACTGCAACATCATCATCCCTCCTTCAGAGTGCAGGTACTATACTTACCATTGCCTGAACTCAAGTCTGGCTAACTAACTGATTACCCTGAATTCCTTTATAAATGTTACTTTGCTTAACTCCAACAGGATGTCAAATCATAAAAACCACTTTTCTTCACTTGCTCCTGTAACATGCTGACACAAGCCTGTATCCTGTATTTCTTCAATCCTTCCTGGGACAACCCCTACTACTATTTCCCTCTGCTCCAGATTTATATGCTCTCCTAGTCATCCTGTTTTGCTCCATCCTCTATCAATGGCCAAGCCCCCTCAACCCTTTGAATGATACATTCAGTAATCCCATGCTTACTAATCTGCAGACCAAATTCTCTGCATAATATGCACTATACATTGCCCTCAAAAACATCACCACTGCCTCCAACCTCCTCACTGTGACTAATCCGTAAAGTGTCTGTGCCGTAGTACTATGGTTTTGATAATAATAATGTGGGTTTGAAGTCTGTGCCACAGAACTACGTGATGGGCTCAGCTCACTCAGATGAGCAGTGAGTTGTACATCTGGACCTACATATAAGAGAATGGGTCGATGTGGTGTGCACCACATAAAAAAAATCCAGCCCCCCCCCCCATAGTGCAAAATGGGAAAAAATAACTGCAACCATGTTTTTGTTTTAAAATAGCAACTTTACAGTGCATTTTCAGATGATTTTTATGGTGGTTTTCTTGGTATCATTTGACAGAAAGAAAGATATATTACAGAAATACAGTAGAGATGATTTTGACTGGTTTCAGGACTGGAAGTACATAAAATTGAGCTCAAAATAGCAGAAATATTCTATTTTTGCCTATATTCCAGAGTAAACAAATCACATCACTTGTCCAATATGCATCCAACTGGTCAATATAATATGAATTCATGAATGCCCTGACATTTTTTTTTTTTTTAACAAGTCGGCTGTCTCCCACCAAGGCAGGGTGACCCAAAAAAGAAAGAAAATCCCCAAAAAGAAAATTCTTTCATCATCATTCAACACTTTCACACATAATCACTGTTTTTGCAGAGGTGCTCAGAATACAACAGCTTAGAAGCATATACGTATAAAGATACACAACATATCCCTCCAGACTACCAATATCCCAAACCCCTCCTTTAAGTGCAGGCATTGTACTTCCCACTTCCAGGACTCAAGTCCGGCTATATAAAAATAACCGGTTTCCCTGAATCCCTTCACTAAATATTACCCTGGTCACATTCCAACAGCTCGTCAGGTCCCAAATACCATTCGTCTCCATTCACTCCTATCTAACATGCTCACGCATGCTTGCTGGAAGTCCAAGCCCCTTGCCCACAAAACTTCCTTTACCCCCTCCCTCCAACCTTTTCGAGGACGACCCCTACCCCGCCTTCCTTCCCCTACAGATTTATACGCTCTCCATGTCATTCTACTTTGATCCATTCTCTCTAAATGACCAAATCACCTCAACAACCCCTCTTCAGCCCTCTGACTAATACTTTTATTAATTCCACAATTATAATAATGCTTAACACTAAATCTTTTTTTGTGTGAATAAAAATTCAAAATGAAATTCATGTGTAAAGCCTGGGAATGTAACTAATGAACAGAGGAAATGTTATTTTAGTGCCAGGAATGCCTGCATTGTTTATTCTGAACCTATTTTGAAATTTGTGTGAAATTAGCCAAATTACCAATTTCTGATCACTTTATTGGGTAGTAGAAATAGTTGATTGGGTGGTTTCTTGTGCTCAATCGATAAAATAGAAAACACACTAGCAAAATAGCTAAGAATTTGGTTCACGTGAACAACGTAATTGGCCTAACATAGGGCTCAAAGTGGGCAACATCGCCGATGTGTAAATATCACTGACAAAATTTGCAAAAGTGTAATTTTGTAAGTTTTTTAACAAATTTTCTAATTTTGGTTTTATTACCCTCAGAAAAATATTCTCTACCATTTCATAAGAAAAAAATAAAATTTTTTTTTTAAAATTCTTGGACACTGGACAATTTTCAGATCAGGGTCTGGACACTGAATGGGGGTTAAAATCCATGCTTTGTACAGGAGGGGCCCCGATAATTTGGCAGGTTAGGTTCCAGGCTAACACTGTAAAGTGAATCACCCTTTCACTTTTAAATGCATATAAATACCTGATAGCATGTTTACACTATCATATATTATGGGAAGAATAGAACTAGGCCTAAAAAACAATAAAACAGTAGAATCCATATACAGTTCACCCATTACTTACCTTAAAATACTTTTGTCTTTAGCCTATAGTAAGTGTTGAGTAGCATTAGCCCTTAGCAAGAGTGTTAGCCTCTTAATTTATTTATGCTTAGCAATATTTTATTACATCTAAAACTAAATTTTTTATACCACAGAAAGAAATATTTTTGTTTGTTTCTCTTTTGCAGCTTTGAAGCCAGGCATTGACTTCTCTAATTTAGCAATAAATGTCTTAGAGAGCATCTTCCAAAATAATGCAGTTTCATCCACATGAAAAATCTGTTTTTGGTATATCCACCACATTCAATTATCCCGGACTTGAGTCCTGGAGATGGGAAGTACAGTTCCTGCACTCTGAAGGAAGGGTGTTAATGTTGCAGTTTAAAAACTGTAGTAGTGTAAGCACCCTTCCGGCAAGACAGTGATGGAGCAAATGATGGTGAAAGTTTTTCTTTTTCGGGCCACCCTGCCTTGGTGGGAATCGGCCAGTGTGATAATAAAAAAAAATATATACATTCACCTGTGCAGCGCCCCGAATATTTTGAGAATTTTTTTTTATAGGAAAAAAGAGCATGTGGTACCCAGGCATTCCCAATTTTTTCATATGGCGCACACTGAGTGCGCACACCCATTCTCTCATGTCTAGGCGACTCAGGCCTAACGTGCCAATGTTAAATGAATGACAAAGGAAACGTATATATACGTTTGGGGCGCTACGCGAGAGAACGTATATATGTTTGGATCATTTGGGGGGTTAATGCAGTACAGCAACATACCTTGGCTGATGTCAAAGGTGGATCAGTGAAAATGCCCATAACATAGTATACGACATTTAAAGTGCCCCAGAGCAATTATTATTGTTGTATCTTCAAGACTAATGAGACACTCTTAGCTACTCCCTCGCCTGGCATAGCTACTCCTATTTAGTCTGTAGTGGAAGGAAGGCGGGGTAGGGGTCGGCCTAGGAAAGGTTGGAGAGAGGGGGTAAAGGAGGTTTTGTGTGCGAGGGGCTTGGACTTCCAGCAGGCATGCGTGAGCGTGTTTGATAGGAGTGAATGGAGACAAATGGTTTTTAATACTTGACGTGCTGTTGGAGTGTGAGCAAAGTAACATTTATGAAGGGGTTCAGGGAAACCGGCAGGCCGGACTTGAGTCCTGGAGATGGGAAGTACAGTGCCTGCACTCTGAAGGAGGGGTGTTAATGTTGCAGTTTAAAAACTGTAGTGTAAAGCACCCTTCTGGCAAGACAGTGATGGAGTGAATGATGGTGAAAGTTTTTCTTTTTCGGGCCACCCTGCCTTGGTGGGAATCGGCCAGTGTGGTAATAAAATAAAATAATTTAGTAAAGATGCCAAATAGTGATCTTAACATACCTACATGCTAGAACAGTAAGTTTATTTATAGGTACATTATTATTATTATTATTATTATAATCATAACTAAGCACTAAACCTATAAGGGTTATTTAGGTACAGGTACACATAAGTACAATTATCAGTAATATGTCAGTACTATCTCAGTGATAAGACATACCTTGCTCACTGAGTTTAATCATTTCTACCTTTGCACTTAAACTAAGAGCCTTATGACAACTCTTTTTATCACAACTACCCTTAAATGTCATTGTAACACAAAAAGAGTATATATAAAATACTCAGTAACTTTAAAAAACTTGAAACTTGGGAAAGTTTCCAGACATAATCGGGAGAGACACAGAGCTCGTGGAGAATGTAAACAGAGTGGACGGGTGGCACATGGATGCTGAAATAGCGAATCAGTTGTATTAACAAATTTTTGGGTATAATTTGAAACGTCCGTATTAGTGAAGCACTGTAAAGCAGGCTCTCCTGTATATTATATATATATATATATATAATATATATATATATATATATATATATAATATATTATATAATCCTCTAAGCATATATATTATATATATATTATATATATATATATATATATATATATATTAATATATATATATTATATATATATACATGACTTACAATTTTTTCATCAAAGTCGGCCATCTACTGACCGATGTTCCATAAGATATTTAAGTAATATATATTAACCACATCACGTCCACGATTACATAAATACTTACTAAATTTGTTCATTTAGTATTTAACGGTCATGTATATATTTGATTATTTTTGAACTGCAAAGTTTCTAAGAGAAACCAATAACAAGGGTGAAAAAATAACTGCAGCCTTGCTTATTTGACTATCTTTTGTGTTACAACTAGCTGACAATATACTAGTCTTGGTAACACTAAAGATATTGTAATAAAAATAAAGCACTTGTAATTGACAAGGAATAAGTGATTGTTACACTGAGGAAAGGGGAGCTAAACACATAGGTCATACAGCACTTTGGAAATGGGACAATCAGGTCTGATTCAAGGAAGGAAAGGTCAGGTTCAATTCCTTGGGTCAAGAGTCCTTTGCCAGCATTGAGGAATCTTCCTTGAGGGGAAGCGAGACCATAATTATTTGTGGTATATTTCCACCATATATCGTGCTTTAACATTTTTATATTAATTTTTTTTTGGTTGTAAGAAAGAGCAGTTAAAGCCACTATAAAACTACTTGTCCACAACTTATAAATAAAACAAAAATTTTTAATATTTAAACTAGTTTCTTTGCTAAGTACTGTAATCCTTTTTTTAAATTTAAAATAGTTACTTTTTGGTTATTTGTAATTTAGCTCTTTTTAAAAGGCTAACATCTAGGGTTTACAATTTTTTATGAATATAATAATAGGTAAACTAAACTATAAACTCAAATGGGTCATGCTTTGAGAAACACGACACATTTTAAAGATTTCCTAAAATGTGATCCTATCAATCCATTGAAAGTTGGCACTCCTGTATTTTAAATACATACTGTACTGTCCTGGCAAAACACAATGTTTGGCAGTGAAATGATTATACCTAGGTAGCACCAGATCCACAAGAATAGTTTTGGAAACGGTTATTCTTTGCTTGGCTGACATGGGGGACCGGCTGTTGCAGATGTAGTTGCTCCTTGGACTGTGAGTTGATGGTTGGTGGTGATGAGAAAGTTGGCACTAAGTAACAGAGGATATTTCACTTCTGGGTCCAGCAGCATGACACGAATCTGGTGGGTGAGAGGGCTATCGCTATCACTTGTTCATTCATTGCCTAGTATAAACATTGGGGTATGTGATCATGACAAGCATTTTGGAGCATGGATAAGCTATTTACCAGAGATGTATCAAATACAAGAGAGCATGGTTGTTAACTACACACCCAAATGAGCCCCAACACTAGGTCACATTATTGTAGGTGCTGATTATGAGCACTTTAGTGCATAAGAACTCAGCATCCCAATTTTAAGCCTAAAAAATGAGATGTCCACCTTCATCAAAATTTGCTGTGGCTTGAATGCACTCTGGATATTTTGCTTGGGACTCATTAGCTTAAAGCTGGGAACTTTATGTTAAAAGTGTTGAATATCCACACAGTTCTACTGCTCTGTAAATTGTACAAATCAACATCCGAGCGAGACAGGAATTTATGAAAGCATTTCTTCAGCCTAAGAATGGAAGGAGTAGAATAATAGCATAGTTGAGGCAAACTATGCAGGGATACAAGAAATGATATGACAGAGCTGTTTCACATCAATTAGTTAAGAGCCGAGACAGACCAAGAGCCGCAGTTCATTGTTTCTCAAAACTGGCAATTTCAGTTACAAACTGAATAAAAAAGCTAAAGCTAGAGCATAATAAACTTGTATAAGTGTTCAATGGCCCACACAAGTTTAGCACTTTCACTTTATTAGGAATGTTGTACCATACAAGTTTAGCTCTTACTTTTTTTAGCAATAATAATGTGACTGCTGTTTAATGATTGCTTCTTTTGTGAGCTAACCTAGAAATAAATGGTATAAAATACCGACACAATGGAAATATAAACACAAATGCAGTATAATGTGATCCTTTATTGACAACGTTTCACCCACACAGTGGGCTTTTTCAAGTCACACACGGATCTACCTGGGGTTGGAAGGTACGAGAGTATTTATAGTCATGTTCAGAATGTTGAGGTCAGGTGGAGAATGCTGCATCTGATGATCTACCGGGTGGGGTTATAGAGTCTTGGGTAGCTTGGCAGGGGTATTGGACAAGTTGTGAGTAGACCTTCTGCAGTGTTCAGAACAATGGCTTCTATAACATAGCTGAACCACTCGCCAAGAAACTTCCTCATCGCTATCCCCCACTGCAGAAGGTCTACTCACAACTTGTCCAATACCCCTGCCAAGCTACCCAAGACTCTATAACCCCACCCGGTAGATCATCAGATGCAGCATTCTCCACCTGACCTCAACATTCTGAACATGACTATAAATACTCTCGTACCTTCCAACCCCAGGTAGATCCGTGTGTGACTTGAAAAAGCCCACTGTGTGGGTGAAACGTTGTCAATAAAGGATCACATTATACTGCATTTGTGTTTATATTTCCAGCTAACCTAGAAAGAATTGTGCTTGGGCACAATAAACCCATGTTGCTGGTGAGGGGCTCTTGATCCAATGACTGGAGCTACCTGTACCCTCACCTACCTTGGATTAAACCTTATTACCTCCCATTTCCCAAGTGCTACATGGCTCTTCCATGGGGGTTAGAGCTTACTCATGAATATAATAATTCATGAATAATCCACACTAGGGAAAGGAAATTTTAGACAATGTTTCAATCTATCCTGGACCATTATCAAGTCACGATAAGCAAGACATTGTGGAGAACACTGGAAGACGTGTAGGACTGACACAGGTCTTTCTGACCTGTCGTCTGGTCTTCTATCTGAAATTTCATCAAAATTTTCCTCTCCTAAGTGTGGGTTACTTGTTAGTTGTTCAAGCCACAATATTGTAACTTGTATTCTCCTATAATATTAAGTTTCAAAGTATTGTATAAACTTTTTCACCTATATTTTTCTCTATAGTCTGCTGGGACATTTCCTGAATGAAATTACGTATTCCCTTTATTCCTTCTAAGATGATAATAGTCGTCTCTGTCACTTCTATAAGATGAGCTCTGCAAATTCAACATGTCACAGAGTCAAACAATATTTTTGTAAACCCACCTTTCAAGCACACTTCAAATATTTTTTTGTTACTGCTTTTTGTGTAATTCCATTTCAAAAATTAATTCAAGATTTATTTTCTAAATCTGTTACCCCATAAGGCAAGTCTGCTTCAGTACTGTACAGTATATTTTATACAGTACAGTATTCTATACAGTATAGTATATTCTATACAGTACAGTATATTCTATACAGTACAGTATATTCTATACAGTGCAGTAAATTCTATACAGTACAGTATATTCCATGTAGGATGTATCTGTGCATCTAGTCTCTTATTATAAGTCTTCTAGTTGTTTAACACATTTCTCATTTTACAGTCTGTCCTCTTCATCAAAGACATCATTTCACTGTTGTAAAGATAGTTGAATGTGTGACTGATGGAGGTATATTAAACAGTGAAAATCTGACATAGTTATGTCTACTGTGCCCATTTTCTGATCACACACTTTTTATTACCAGCATCTTATATTTATATTTTTTTCTGTTGTGGTATGTTATAATTGATTATTATTTATTGATAGAGGACATCCTAAGCTAGTGGAGAAATTTGCTACAAACTACATGTGAGAACTCCACAGATTTTTAAGGGAGTTAAGAAGATAGATTATATTTTGATGTTTTCACTCTGAATCTAATCAATATTCCCTCACTTTCTGCACCATTGTCACACTAGGTTATTGTCAAAGAATGCAATGAGATCTGTACCGTCACTTATATACAGCCTCTCCTCACTTAACGACAGAGTTCTGTTCCTAAGAACACGTCGGTAAACGAATTCGTTGCTAAGTGAAGAGCATACTATAATGGTAGTGGGTTTGTGTCAACCATCTTTGATATTGTTTTAATGTCACCTTTGCACCTTTATAACATTTCTGGTATATTTTTAAATGTTTATACAGTAGTGTACTGCATATTGTAATAAACAGAACAGAGGAAATTAGCTCTAATATACATTATTTAGGTATGCATACTGGTCAGAGAGCCCGTCGTAAGTCCGATTTGTCAGTAAACAAGTATGTCACTAACTGAGGAGAGACTGTACAATGCTTCAATTGAATTATCAATTAAGCCTTTACAATAAACAATACATGTACTTGATTATTACCATCCTTGCTAAAACCTTCATTCTGTTACAACTTTATTTTACTATACCTCAAAATTGCTCTTTAAAGTTTCTTACCTCTTCATTCTTTGCCAAAGAGGCTGCCTGAACTCCTGTCGTCTTTGTGTACACTACCTGTTTCTGCTCGTCGAGTGAGGCCACCGTTACTCTGTAATAACAACATTCTGGGTAATCAGTGGATGGCAGAAACTTACACACATCATTCACTTTTAATTTATGAAACAGCTCTATATAGGTTTTTACCCTTTTGGGTTTAATGCTTAGTTTTGACTGTAATAATAATATATGTTTTTAAATTTTAATGTCTATTTTCTTGACGTTATTTGAGCATAAAATCTGACTGGACAAGTAATCATATTTACTTTGATTCCAAACAGCAATGCATTTCACAAAAAGAGTAAAAGTATTTTATTATTAGCTGCAAAATTAGAAGAAAAATCCACATTTAATTACAGATTTGTACCATTAAAATATGAAACCTCCCATACATATACCTTTACTTCGGACAGATTAATACGCACTAAAAGAATGTTCAAATATGTGTTTACTGTTCCTAGTATCTAAGAGTTCAGCTTCACCAAATATAACGAAATTTACGAGATGGTTAGCATTAGCAACTCGCATACAGAAACTGAAAAGGCCCAGAAACAACTGTAACACTTACAATATCTGAAGTTCACACAAAATTGTATCTGCAACATAAGCTAAGTTGGCAAAATTTCAATGACTGAACTAAACAATTTTTGGGTATACAGCATCAGTGTAACACCCTCATGTAATATTGTAATGAGTATGTATCTAAGAACCCCCAACAAGATCCAGCTGCTCTATTTAGAATTTCAATCATTCTTATGCTCGAAGTACCCTTTACCTTCTCTGATGAGGTATTTATAATTTATAAGATTATAAATTGTCACATTTAAACATCACAGATATCATTTATAATTCACTTTTTTTTTTTTTTTTTTTTTTTTTTATACATTTAAGTCATACTTCAATAAAATTTTATCTGAAGTATTCTAGGTGATGAAGGATACATTGATAGTCAAGAAGGCCTTAGTTATTGTACTTTAAACCCATTTACCTGTACATGATGTTGCGTGTTCCAGGTTGAGCAATGATGCTGGCAATGTTTTCTGTCCTGTGGTTGCGTTTCAGTCTCAGGGAGGCTCCATCATGAGTCATAACTAAATCGAGACCAAAGTTATAGCCTGTCCATCTCCAAATGTGCTGTCCAGAGTTGGCTAACACTCGTCCACACCGTGTACATGATTTGTCAAATTCTTGTTCAGAGATTTCACTTGGTCTATAAATAAACAACCTTCATAAATTATCAAATTTTATACATTATTTTATGCAATAAAGTAGCTAGCAAGTAATAAAATTGCTAGAGTATATACAAGGAACAAAACTGAAATAATATTTGTCCCACTTATGCTTTATGGATATTAACCTAATTGGAATAGAGTAATGTCTTAACAAACTGTTTCTACTCAATCTATGTAGTTCAATGTCACTTTTTTTATGTAGTTCACATACATGCAGTATCATATTTGTCTTGCTTGTTATACCTGATCACTTTGCCTTCTAACCCATACATATTTTTCTTCATTACTGCTGTCTGCTGGAGGTCTGATAATGAGGAAATCTAGGGTTGGCAGTGAGAAAGCAAGACTGAAATGAAGAAAAGTGTGAGTAGTTCTGTAGTCAAAAAGACTGGGGTCGTAATGAGGGAAAACTGCATAGGTATCCAGACCGGCCTAATTCTGCAATATTAAATACAGAAAAACTACATATCCATCAACTCACCCTTTGTCTTTGCCTTGATCAATTCTGAGCATGTTGTACCACTGGTGCATACTAGCAGGTGTCAACCATGAAGGAGGCAAGATGCGGTCAGAGTACAACATTTCAACATCTAGGTGGTGGTAAATAAGGTACACAAGTCTCAGTGCAGAGAAAACTAGAGAGAATTCTCTCCCCTCTTCTTCAAGAAACCAACCAGAATCTGTAAATAAATAAAAAAGAGCATTTCTCAGTGTACTGTCTTTTACCTTGGCAAAATATAATAAGTGTTTATCACAAGAATTTTCTGTGACAAAATGTTTCTCATCAAAGAGATCTTGCTCAAGGGCAGCATATGACTGCAACACATAATGATGCTGATAATACCATTTTGTTCCGAGAAACCTTGCTTTGTATAAATAACAAAAAAGGCACAATACCGTGAATGGAACAATACACAAATAACCCGCACATAAAAGAGAGGAGCTTACGACGACGTTTCGGTCAGACTTGGACCATTTACAAAGTCACACTAACTAAAAGGAGAGCAGGATGGGTATATATAGGCAGGAGGTGGTAGTAGTGGTTGTAGTGGAGGGAAGGAAGTAGTAGTGGGGAGGTAGTAAGAGTAGGAGGGGGCCAGTCAAATACTAAGAAAGAGGAGCACTGCAAGGAGCTAGGTGCCCACAGAGGGTAAGAGCAAAAACATCGAGGGGGTAAACAAACAAATAAATAAAGAAGGAACAACTACACAGGGCAGAAGAAAGACAACCCAAAGAAGAAAAAGGAAAGGGGAAGAGGGAGAAGAAGAAAAAAGGAGGAATCAGGTTAGGTCATGAGTGTTCTGAAATTTGGAACATTTTACAATGTAGTGGGAGAGGAAGGCATCTACAGAGACGAAGCCACGACTAAGATTCATACAAGGAAAGTTGTGTATTAGGGAGGATTCAACCAGATGGCGGCTTAAAGTTGGAAGTAGGGAAGACAGTTTTAGCAGAAGACCAGTCAATGGGATGGCTGTGATCTCTGATGTGACAGAAAAGAGCATTGTTAGTGTCAGCAAGCATGACACTATTTTTGTGCTCCTTAAGTCTATCGGAAAGAGATCAGCCAGTTTCTCCAAAATATTGAAGAGGACAGGAGGAACAAGAAATAGAATAGACACCAGGAGCATCTGTAGAGGGAGGAGAGGTATGAACGAGATTAGACTAACACTCTTCGCACTAATCTCGTTCATACCTCTCCTCCCTCTACAGATGCTTCTGATGTCTACTCTATTTCTTGTTCCTCCTGTCCTTTTCAATACTTTGGAGAAAGTGGTCGATCTCTTTCTGACAGACTTAAGGAGCACAAAAATAGTGTCATGCTTGCTGACACTAACAATGCTCTTTTCTGTCATGTCAGAGATCACAGCCATCCTATTGACTGGTCTTCTGCTAAAACTGTCTTCCCAACTTCCAACTTTAACAGTCGCCATCTGGTTGAATCCTCCCTAATACGCAATTTTCCTTGTATGAATCTTAATCGTGGCTTCGTCTCTGTAGATGCCTTCCTCTCCCACTACATTGTAAAATGTTCCAAACTTCAGGACACTCGTGACCTAACCTGATTCCTCCTGTTTTCTTCTCCCTCTTCCCCTTTCCTCTTTCCTTTTTCTCCTTTGGGTTGTCTTTCTTCTGCCCTGTGTAGTTGTTCCTTTCTTTATTTATTTATTTATTTGTTTTCCCCCCCCCTCGATGTTCTTGCTCTTACCCTCTGTGGGCACCTAGCTCCCTTGCAGTGCTCCTCTTTCTTAGTATTTGACTGGCCCCCTCCTACTCTTACTACCTCTCCACTACTACTTCCTTCCCTTCACTACAACCACTACTACTACTACTACCACCTCCTGCCTATATATATCCATCGTGCTCTCCTTTTAGTTAGTGTGACTTTGTAAATGGTCCAAGTCGGACCAAAACATTGTCGTAACCTCCTCTCTTCTATGTGCGGGTTATTTGTGAATTGTGTCTTGCTTTGTATCTTAAATGAACAGTATCAACTGATAAGTCCAGCATTTAAAACATCCTTACTAAAAATGGAAGATTTGCAGACAAAAGATGGGTGGCAAACAGCATGGTTAAATATCAAGGTTAAATGAATGATGCATATATAAGGGAACAAAAAATTTAAATGTGACTAAAAAAATTAGGCACTTTTTATTATATATAAATACAACAAAAAGGAACATCATTTCTTTCATACAAGCTCTGCTTTTAGTTTTATTTGGTAACCAATGAGCTGGACTTGAGTCCTGGAGGTGGGAAGTAGAGAGCCTGCACTCTGAAGGAGGGGTGGGGATATTTGCAGTTTGAAGGAGCATCTGAACTGCAGTATCTGCACACCTCTGGCAAGACAGTGATAGAGTGAATGATGGTGAAAGTGTTCCTTTTTTGGGTCACTGCCTCAAGTTGTTTCCTCACCTGTTCGATTTCTGAAGTATTTATGGGCCTCCAAAAATGCCTCTTCATGTGAGCCTTCCCATGAAGGGTTTAGACGTAGAAACACCCAAGCCTAGATGATGAAGCATCATATTAAAAATTAAGTGATCAATAGGTTTTCTTAAAATTATATAAATTCCATTGTTATCATTACTGACACTCGGAAAAGATACAAAACATGTTGAAGCAAAAAGAGAGCTAAGTTAAGTAAAATCTTGTATATAGCATATGCAATATTACCTGTGTTAAAGCAAAGGTAAACAATAATAAAGATAGCAAAAATCCTAATTTTATACTCTTATACAGCACTTGGGACATCCTGTCTGACCAATATCAATCAACTGTCCCAGTATGTTGCAAGCACTTAACATCTCCAATACCAAATGTTTTTTTTACTTTTCTCCACATTTCCCTCATCACTAGCACGTTAAGAGACAATACAATAAGTGTCAGGGGCCCAAGACTGTTCAACTGCCTCCCAGCATACATAAGGGTGATTACCAATAGACCCCTGGCTGTCTTCAAGCAGGCACTGGACAAGCACCTAAAGTCGGTACCTGACCAGCCGGGCTGTGGCTCGTACGTTGGATTGCGTGCAGCCAGCAGTAACAGCCTGGTTGATCAGGCTCTGATCCACCAGGAGGCCTGGTCACAGACCGGGCCACGGGGGCATTGACCCCCGGAACTCTCTCCAGGTAAACTGTACACTAACCAAGAATTTGACAACGATACAAGAACACAGGCAATGTTTAATTACACTGTAGCAGAAATCTGATGAGTCAAGACTAAAAATGTTCACATTTTGAATAGGTACACAGGATTTTGCAAAGATTTCAAGCTATTATGAAAGTCAATGTTAACTATATGATGACTACATTTACTGTATTATAGGAATGTCCTACCTTCAACATGACATAAACACTAAATTCTGTCTGCATGACATAAAGATGCGGTGATGACAGTAACTCATAGAGTAAATCTGGTGGTATGTGTCGCAGTGTAGCAGGATGCTCAGTAACCTGTGAGGATAAACATAATGTGTTACTTATTTTTATACACAGCAGAGTATAAAGTGAAAAAATGGTGAAGTGGCTTGGTACTATTACATGACAATGACACAAAAGTGTTATTATAAATTATAATTACTCTAAGAAGAGAAACTTTCATTTTTCTCTTTGGGCCACCCTGCCTTGGTGGGATATGGCCGGTTTGTTGAAAAAAAAAGAAAAAAAATTACTCTAAGGTAATGCAATTAATGAAAGAAAATTATGGCAATAAAGATTAATTAGACAACAGTTCTGGAAGTGGCAAGTGTAGTACCTACACTCTGAAGGATGAGTGAAGATGTAATTCAGAGGGTCATTTAAATTATGTCCATATACTTCTGGTAAGATAGTTAATAAATGAATGATATACCTCTGAAGGGTTTTGAGATTTCCTACTCTTGCAGCCAGGCTTGTTTAGTGCTTACCTGATCAACCAGGATGTTACTGTCAGTGGCTCACTGGCCCATGTATGTATCACAGTCTGGATGATTTGGAACTTGGCAGAGGTACATGTTCAATTTCCTTATGCAGTAGTGGTTTAGAAGCTGTGACACACATGATCTTCCTTCTCTAAATCCATCCTGGTTTGGGATGTGTAAGTTATGCTATTCCATAGAGTTTGTAATTTGATGCCTCATCATTTTTTGATAAGTTCTCTAGTGCTTCCTTAATGCAAAGGAGCTTCTGGGATGGTGAATACTTCCCAAACTAGGAGGCAGATTGATAGATTTAAGATCAACATTAAATACTCTACCATTGTCTCTAGGGTTTACAAGAATTAAGAAGAGAAGGTAACTTTGTAGTAAAGTGTATTAGGTGCCCTAGTAACTACGAAGGATTTTTTTTTGTTAGGTGCTCCAGTAACAATGAAGGAAGTGTTAAGTACTTCAGTAACCATAAAGTTTCTGTCTGTAAAACATTTCAGAAAGTTTTATAACTGTAGCAGAAGTCATCACTTACATTTTGTCCCAATGACAAAACAAAACTTCCCAAAGATGGGATAGCCAACACAGTTTCCAGTTCTCCTTACCTAAAAAAGTTCTATAAACTTTCTCATGGCGCCCTGTTATTTCCCTATTCCTTGTTATGCTTGTATTGTTGTATTCTGCCTTTCAAAGTAGAAAGAGCCTGCTGACATTCAGCAGGAGATAGCCATTGAGTTGAAAAAAGAAATAATTATTATTATACAGTGGACCCCTGCCTTACGATATTATTTCATTCCAGAAGTCTGTTCAGGTGCCGTTACTGACTGAATTTGTTCCCATAAGGAATATTGTGAATTAGATTAGTCTGTTTCAGACCCCCAAAAATACACGTACAAAAGCACTTACAAAAATACACTTACATAATTGGTCGAGTTGGGAGCTGATCGTAAGGTGAGGGTCCACTGTATTAGTATTTCTACAAAAGGAAGTAAAAAACAAAGTTAAAGAGTGTTAGCTGCAAGTGGCAAAGCATATTTCAATTTGCTGGGCCGCCACTTACCTTTACCCATGACATCATGAAATGTCTGTGACTGGCTTCAAGATTCTATTCTCTAAGCTCAACCTAATGCCAAACTTTCTGATCAATCAAACTGTTTTTGCCAACCACATTATCCTTGTGATTCAAGAAGGTTAAAAATATGTCACTCAGCACTTCTCAGTGTGTTCTCACCTGAGTCAGTAGGTTGTGAAGCAGCCATTGTTTGCAAGCCTTGTCTACTTCCACTACCCCATACCTTCGCGCTGCCTCGTGATACTGCACCACAGTCTGAAACACAAATTAAGAACATCTAATACTAATTTATTTTGAAACATGACCTGCCAGAAACTATTTTTCAAGTTAGGTTTCAGCCTCGCTGCAACCCCAGGAATGAGTGTTTTAATTTCAGAAAACTTTAAAATAAACACTTATTATAGGAGTCAGAAAACGCAAAACTGCTTCTGCCTTATTATTTAAGCTACAATATCCAAGGGTCTTCGTCTAGTTTCAAAGCTTTACTCCCGGTTGGTACAGGATGAAGCTATCATTAAGCTTAAACCTCAAAACTTCACACCAAAACATTTTCATACAAAACTGTAAAAAAAGATGGTAGCAGTCTTATGTGGTAACAATGTAAGAGAAGTGAGAATTTATTTCACGCATTATCAGCTTAAATTACCATTTTAACTGTAGGTCAACTCTGCTTGTGTCAATTAAAATAAATAGTCCTTATGAGAGATTGAATAGTGTGGATAAAATAGGCATTATAGGCATTAAATATTAAGAGGTAATTACACTAGGTGCAATTCCCCCAATCTAAATAATGTTAGTACAGTAAGAGGGTTATATTTGATATTGCTTTTCTCTGAATGCTAGAGTGTTGGGGAAAGTATGGGACTAAAAGATAATAAATCTGATATATACTGAGAGTTGTCACAGTTGTTCTTTGCAACTGACACAGTTCTTTTGGGAAAATTTGAAGAGAAGTAGAAAAGTTTGGTGGAGGAATTTGGGAAAGTGTGTAAAAGACAGGAATTAAAAGTGAACACAGAAAAGAGCATAGTGATGATAGAATCAAGTCGTCTAGGCAATGAAAGACTGAATATAAAATTGTATGGAGGGAATATGCAAGAATTGAATGCATTCAGATATTTGGGAGTGGACATGTTGACAAGATAGGTCTCTAAAATATGAAATGAACCATAAAATAGACAAGGGTAAAAAAATGCAGATGCTGTGTTGAGACATCTGTGGAAAGAAAGATATTTACTTATGGAGACATGAGGGGCAATGAACCAGAGTATAGTGGTACCAACACTTTTGTATTCATATGAGGCATGGACTTCAAAGGGTGCAATGAAAAGGAGGCAGAAAGGAGTGGAGATGTCATTTGTGAGAGCAATGTGAGGTGTAAATATTATGCAGAGAATTCAGGGCTGAGGTAGGTTGGGTATTTAGAAGGCTGAAACAGAATAGGGTGGTTAAGAAGGGGCATATAAATGCAGAGGGGTATGGGTCTTCCCAGAAAGGGTTGGAAGGAGGGGGTAAAAGGTTTAGAGTGCTAGGGACTTGAACATCCAACAGGCTTGTTTTTTTTTTTTTTATTATCACACTGGCCGATTCCCACCAAGGCAGGGTGGCCCTAAAAAGAAAAACTTTCACCATCATTCACTCCATCACTGTCTTGCCAGAAGGGTGCTTTACACTACAGTTTTTAAATTGCAACATTAACACCCCTCCTTCAGAGTGCAGGCACTGTACTTCCCATCTCCAGGACTCAAGTCCGGCCTGCCGGTTTCCCTGAATCCCTTCATAAATGTTACTTTGCTCACATTTCCAACAGCACGTCAAGTATTAAAAACCTTTTTGTCTCCATTCACTCCTATCAAACACGCTCATGCATGCCTCCCTGGAAGTCCAAGCCCCTCGAAACACAAACCTCCTTTACCCCCTCCCTCCAACCTTTCCTAGGCCGACCCCACCCGCCTTCCTTCCACTAACAGATGATACATCTTGAAGTCATTTCTGTTTCGCTCCATTCTCTCTACATGTCCGAACCACCTCAACAACCCTTCCTCAGCCCTCGGGGACAACAGTTTTGGTAATCCCGCACCTCCTCCTAACTTCCAAACTACGATTCTCTGCATTATATTCACACCACACATTGCCCTCAGACATGACATCTCCACTGCCTTTCCAACCTTCTCCTCGCTGCAACATTCATCACCCACGCTTCACACCCATATAAGAGCGTTGGTAAAACTATACTTCATACATTCCCCTCTTTGCCTCCAAGGACAAAGTTCTTTGTCTCCACAGACTCCTAAGTGCACCACTCACTCTTTTTCCCTCATCAATTCTATGATTCACCTCATCTTTCATGACCCATCCGCTGACACGTCCACTCCCAAATATCTGAATAACGTTCACTCCTCCATACTCTCTCCCTCCAATCTGATATTCAATCTTTCATCACCTAATCTTTTTGTTATCCTCATAACCTTACTCTTTCCTGTATTCACCTTTAATTTTCTTCTTTTGCACACCCTACCAAATTCATCCACCAATCTCTGCAACTTCTCTTCAGAATCTCCCAAGAGCACAGTGTCATCAGCAAAGAGCAGCTGTGACAACTCCCACTTTGTGTGTGATTCTTTATCTTTTAACTCCACGCCTCTTGCCAAGACCCTCGCATTTACTTCTCTTACAACCCCATCTATAAATATATTAAACAACCACGGTGACATCACACATCCTTGTCTAAGGACAAGTTACCGAATGTGTAGATTAAAGAGAAAACAAGGTAAGGGGGTCCTCCTCTTAGTGTTCAAATGAAAGGCACAAAGCCCTATTGTACTACAAAACTGTGTGAGAAGGAAGGAGCCTCCGTAACACTGTATGTTTATTGCTGTAAGGTTTCAAAATTTTAAAATGTGCAATTAAGTTTCATAATACACTGTGTAAGGTTGAGTGGTGAGCATGTGTCAGCTGATCAAGTTGCCGTGGAAAGTTTTTCTGCTGATTTGTTCAAATTATTTCTGAAAATGATTACAGTCTCCTCCAAGTATTTAATGCTGATGATCCAGGGCTATCTTGGAAGTGTATGTCATCAAGAACATACATGAGCAAGCAAGAAAAAAGTGCAGCAAATGCAACAGGTAATTTCAAGTACAAGTCTAAGCTAATTTATCTTGCAGAGAATCTCCATGCTTTAAATAGTCAAGACAAATCTACTTGCCTGTTATTGGGCAGACTAACAAGGAAATATGGATGACAATGGTCCTGTTTGTTGATTAATTCAAGCATTATTTTATTCCTGTAGTCAAAGAGGAACTTGGTCAAAAAAATTTGCACTTAAAAGTTCCCAGTCATCCTAAAATCTTAGGGTCTGTGGACCCAATTGTAAAGATAGTGTATTTATGACCCAATATAAGATCTCTGATACAGCCTCTACACTGAGGAGTTATTAAGACATTTAAGTGACATTACTCAAGCAAGGTGATGGAAAAACTTGTTGCAGGCAATTTCACTGCTTCTCACTGAGCTGCACTTCACAGCAATGGGGTACATGAAAACTTCTGTTTTAAAGTCCTGTGAAAACTGTACAAAAAATAACATTTACTACCACTATAATATTTTCTAATTTTTATGTAAATACAGTGGTACCCCAAGTTTTGTACAGCTACCAACTCGAACAATTATGTAAGTGTATTATTGTAAGTGCTTTTGTAAGTGTATTTTTGGGGGTCTGAAATGGACTAATTTAATTTACATTATTCCTTATGGGAACAAATTCGTTTGGTAATGGCACTTGAACAGCCTTCTGGAACGAATTATGTACAAAACTCATGGTACCACTGTATATACATATGGGCGCCAAATACCCCTGTGCTGCTACTGCCTGTGAAAAAAAAAGTGTTGGCACTGTTACTGATTCATTTCCATTTTTGTATACATTGAAAAAGTCTTTCCTTTCAGAGACTCCTTAACAATCGTACAATTTTTTTCCTTCATCTATGGTGTGCTTTAATTTATCCTTCCTGGATTTATTAATACATGTATAATTATGTAAAAGCCTCAATGTACCTGGAACATTGTATACAGTGTCCTTGTGGATCAAAAAATTATGTAGTACTGGCCTTGTCAGACACTAACAGGTTGATGATAAGTCTCTTACAACTACTGTAAATTGTTAAAAGGTTGTTAGTGCACCTGTAAGTTGATAGTCTCAAGCATGATGCAGGTGCATTGGTCAATGAGTGGATCCATCTGCAAAAGTAGGGAGGTAGCCAGGAGAGGGATAACTTGAGCAGCTTCTACCTCGATGTCGTCCTTGTAGAACTGACCCAGTGCCAGGTGAAGTGCTGTCACACAAATAATCATAGTGAAAATATGAACTATACATTTCCTGAACAGACTGATGAAGTGATAAAGTAGTAATGGAGGAATACAAGAAATATGTTGTGTAATTATTTTGAGTACTATTAATACATAATGTAGTATTCTTGAAGAATAAATTACAATGCCATGGCTGGAACAATTCAAAACTCACCCATTATTTGGAAATGACATTGTAGAAGATATTATGGTGCATCCTGGCTCATTATCAGGTTGTGATATAATAATGGTCCAGGATGTACTGAGACTTTGTATAAAGTTTTATTTACAAATTGTGGATTTTTGGTCAATGTATGTTGAATAGATTTAGGCTTTTGTATGAATGATGATCTATAGTTACAATCATGTACAATTATGCTTTATACTATAATTTTCTAGACAGTAAGGCTCAGGATTAAAAAAAAGCTCAGTCTAGTTTCAGTAGAGCAAATACAACACATTCTTAAGCTGGGGCCTCCATATGTATTGAGATCTATCTCACTCCCATAGATCTTTACTTCAGTCATTCACACCCACTTCCTCAGTACAGTCTTCTTTCTTTCAACACACTGGCCGTATCCCACCGAGGCGGGGTGGCCCAAAAGGAAAAACAAAAATTTCTCCTTTTACATTTAGTAATATAGACAGAAGAGGTTACTAGCCCCTTGCTCCCGGCATTTTAGTCGCCTCTTACAACACACATGGCTTACGGAGGAAGAATTCTGTTCCACTTCCCCATGGAGATAAGAGGAAATAAACAAGAATAAGAACTAGAAAGAAAATAGAAGAAAACCCAGAGGGGTGTGTATATATGTGCTTGTACATGTATGTGTAGTGTGACCTAAGTGTAAGTAGAAGTAGCAAGACATACCTGAAATCTTGCATGTTCATGAGACAGAAAAAAGGACACCAGCAATCCTACCATCATGTAAAACAATTACAGGCTTTCGTTTTACACTCACTTGGCAGGACGGTAGTACCTCCCTGGGCAGTTGCTGTCCACCAACCTACTACCTATGTCTACTTTGATCCATTCTCTCTAAATGACCAAGCCACCTCAACAACCCCTCTTCAGCCCTCTGACTAATACTTTTATTAACTCCACACCCCCTCTTAATTTCCACACACCGAATGCTCTGCATAATATTTACACCACACATTGCCCTTAGACAGGACATTTCCACTGCCTCCAGCAGCCTCCTCTCTGCAGCATTTACAACCCAAGCTTCACACCCATATAAGTGTTGGTACCACAGGTATGTAAACAAAAAAAAACGACTTGTATATAGGATTCGCTACTATACGTGATGATACGTTCCAAGACCTACCTACCTACTAGCCATGGCAGGTCTTGGGACGTATCACTGCAGATACAAGGGGACTACTGTGTACTTATAAGGCCTCTACTAAAAAACAAAGCAACTGTGCAAGATGATATCAATGTGACACTCTTATCCCATGTGCCACTTCCACTTACCATCAATGTTGATGTTATCATCAAGAATCTCAATTGTTATCTGAGATTGGTTTGTCTCTGTCCAGTTACCAGAGAACATGCTACCAAAATATGGGCTCTGTGGAGATTTAAAGAACACTATTAGCAGTGATAGTCTTTTCTAACTATTTGCCTGGGAAGTTGTAAAACAGAAAAATAAAGAAAATTTTTAATACAAATAAAAAATAAATATAAAGAGACAGGATAAGGGAGGTAATAGGCCTCCAGTTGGTATACAACACTGCTCCCAATGTGACACCTATAGCTCCACTACTGCCCCTGTGTACCTTTTAGGACTCATGTACTGGCACAGCTGGTATATGTCTTACCAACATCCTTGTAGGGGGTACAACAGAGGTAGTGGAACTCCATCCAGTATGAAAGGATTTTTGGTACAATAGGGGGGTACAAGGTACTTTGGTCATTTGAATGTAAATTTTATTTATTTAGCATTAAAATCATAGGGGTCACATAGCACCTGGAGAATGGGAGGAATTCAGGTTTGATTCAAGGTAAGGTTAAATCCAGTTTCTTAAATCAAAATACCCTCATAGGCATCTAAAGTAGGAAAAAAATGTACACAATCTTAAAGCATACTATGAGTCATTTACTGAAACTTAATTTAATAAATGGTACTACCAAGAAGTTCTAATATGTAAAAGTGCTTAATCACGAGCACCAACAATGGGTGCAAAATAATACACAAAATGCATGAAGGCAATAAGCATACAGCTGTATTACACAACATACATTATACGGACAAATGTATAAATAAGACAAGTGTAATGTTAGCAAAATTTTATTTTGATGTACGTATGTCATTGAGCGGGAGATATATTAGTCATTAGATTAATAAAGTTCCTCGTGAGCAAAACTTCTCCAAATAAAAAATCATCAATAAAGAAAATACTGTGCATTATTTTAGGAAGGCAATGTATGTATGTATCACTAACCTGGCAGAGATATACCTTGTGTAGATTCCACTCGTGTCCAAGAGCCACAACACTCACGTCTGATGATCGTCCATCTTCAAACAATGTCTTGTATATATACTTCGAGGTGGAATTTAACTTTCGTCTAAAATAAAAAGTTACATGTACAATGGAAGAGTAATAAAAAAGATAAAGTAAACAACTGGGGTACAACATATATATTCGACACAAAAATCCTTAGCAGCAAAATGGAATATGGCCTCTCCTCACTTAACGACAGAGTTATCTTCCTGAGACCTCATCGGTAAATGAATTCGTCACTAAGTGAGGAGCATACTATAATGGTAGTGGGTTTGTGTCAACCATCTTTGATATTGTTTTGATGTCACCTTTGCACCATTTATAACATTTCTGGTAAATTTTTAAGTGTTTATACAGTAGTGTACTGTATACTGCAATAAACAGAATAGAGGAAATCAGTTCTAATATACATTATTTAGGTATGCATACTGGTCAGAGAGCCCGTCATAAGTCCGAGTCGTCGGTAAATGAGTACGTCCGTCACTAAGTGAGGAGAGGCTGTACTGTATAATGATTAATTAGTTATGAGTTACACCAGTACTCTTATATGGGTGTGAAGCATGGGTGGTGAATGTTGCAACAAGGAGAAGGCTGGAGATGTTGTATCTGAGGGCAAAATGCAGTGTGATAATAATGCAGAGAATCTGTAGCTTGGAAATTAGGAGGTGTGGGGTTACTAAAAGTACTATGCAGAGGGCTGAGGAGGAGTTGTTGAGGTGGTTTGGACATTTAGAAAGGAGGGAACAAAATAGAATGACTTGGAGAGTGTATAAATGTGTAGTGGAAAGAAGGTACCTTTGATATATACCTTTGAAGAGTGTCGAGAGTTTCACTACTCTCAGAGCCTGGCCATGTGCCAGGGTAGGGTAGGGGTCAGCCTAGGAAAGGTTGGAGGGAGTAATGGAGGTTTTGTGTGCGAGGGGCTTCGACTTCCAGCAAGTGTGTGAGGGGCGTGTTAGATAGGAGCGAGTGGAGACAAATGATTTTTATGATGATGTGCTATTGGAGTGTGAGCAAAGTAACATTTATGAAGGATTCAAGGAAACAGGCAAGCCGGACTTGAGTCCTGGAGGTGGGAAATACAGTGCCTGCACTCTGAAGAAGGGGTGCTGATATGTTCCAGTTTTATGACTATAGTGTAGGTATGCCTCTGGCAAAATAGTGATGGAGTATATGATGGTGAAAGTGTTTCTTCTTTTTTGTCACTTTGCCTTGGTGAGAAATAGCTAATGTAAACCATACCCCCGGCCGGGATTGAACCCGCGGTCATAGAGTCTCAAAACTCCAGCCCGTCACGTTAGCCACTAGACCACTGCAATCGTGTCATTACGATTTCTTGAGTCATAGCCAATGTGTTAATAAAAAAAAATATAATTGATGCAAATTCAGTAGCTGAGGAATGACTGAATTAGTAGTCATCAAAACAATATATGTATGATGTTTTAGGAATGTTATCATTATTACTGGGTATAATTATTATTGTTGTTATAATATTCATGGAGTATTGCTGAGTCTTAATGATCATAAAAGCACCTGGGAAATAAGAAGTAATCAAGTTTGAGCTAAGGAACAGGGGGAGTGTCTCCAATTCCTTGGATCAACAGCCATTTACTGGCATCAAGGTACACCCTTCCTCCCTTGAACAGTGTTAAATGAAACAGCATCAGACTGACTGCATACTTTTTTGGTGTGTGTAGCAGAGAGTTCAAGTCCATTCCATCATCATCATCACTCTCCACCTCCTCCACTTTCCCCTTTTTTGCCCCCCCCAACCCCACACGGGGGGCCCATAAAGCCTTTAATAAGTTCCCCATTACCCCCTAAAAATGGTAAGAGTGAAGTATGACATAAGAATATGTACAACATAAATATTAAACTGCTATTTTATTAAAGTGATTATCCCCACTAATTTTTTGAAATCTGGTTTTACAACTGCTTTTTTTCTTTTCAAAAATCTGAAAAGATAATATTTTTATGTTTAAAACAATCGGCCTCAGCTCACTGTAAAACATTTTTACTACATTTACATGTTCAATTATAATTTTTATTATAACTATGGGGACGCCTAAACCCTAGGGGTCATACAGCACCGGGGGAATGGGAAGCAATAAGCTAATCAAAGGGAATAGAGCATACCCCCAAATTTCTCTGCATCAAGCCCCTTTAGCATAAAGGGTTTACATACCGAGGATTGCAAGACTCAAAAAAAAAACCTTTTCGGGACTGTCATTTTTTTAAAAATTAATTAAATAAGTTTTTTTTTTATTATTATCACACTGGCCGATTCCCCACCAAGGCGGTGGCCCAAAAAGAAAAACTTTCACCATCATTCACTCCACACTTTTTCCAAAAGGGGTGCTTTACACTACTTTTTTTAAAACGCAACTTTAAACCCCCCTCCTCAGAGGCGGGCACGTATTTTCCCCATCCCAGGCTAAAGTCCGGCCCCGGTTTCCCTGAATTTTATTTTTTTTATTATTATCAACCGGCCGATTCCCCCCAAAGGGCAGGGGGCCCGAAAAAAAAAAACTTTCCCCATCATTCACTCCAACTGTCTTTCCAGAAGGGTGCTTTTACACTACTTTTTTTAAACTGAAAACATTAACCCCCCTCCTTCGAGTGCGGCCGTACTCCCATCTCCAGGACTCAAGTCCGGCCCTGCCGGTTTTTCCCCCTGAATCCCTTCAAAAAAGTTATTTGCTCAACTCCACGCACTCAAGTTTAAAAACCATTTTTTTCCCCATTCACTCCTATCAAACACCCACGCATGCCTGCTGGAAGTCCAAGCCCCTCCACACAAAACCTTTTTTAAACCCCCTCCCCCCAAACCCTTTCCCTAGGCCGACCCTACCCCCCTTTCCCTTTCCCCTACAACGAACACTCTTGAAGCATTTTGTTTTGCTCCTTCTCTCTACAGCCAACCACCTCAACAACCCCTTCCCCAGCCTCTGGACAACAGTTTGGTAATCCCCCACCCCCCCTCCTAACTTTCCCAAACAAAAAATTTTTTCTCATTTTATTTACCCACCATTCCCCCAACATGACTCCCACTGCCTCCAGCCTTCTCCTTGCTGCAAAAATTCATCACCCATGCTTCACACCCATATAAAAGGGATTGGTAAAAAATACTCTAAACATTCCCCCTTTTCCCTAAGGACAAAAATTCTTTTTTCTCCAAGACCCCTAAGTGCACCACTCACTCTTTTTTCCCCCCATCAATTCTATATTTCCCCCATCTTTCATAGACCCCTCCGCTACACGTCCACCTCCCAAAAATCTGAATACATTCCACCTCCTCCTACCTCTCCCCCCAAACTGAATTCAAACTTTTATCACCTAATCTTTTGTTACCCATAACCTTTCTCTTCCTGTATCACCTTTAATTTTTTTCTTTTTCACCCCAAAACCCAAAATTCATCCCCAACTCTGCAACTTCTCTTTAGAATCTCCCCAAAAGCACGTGTCATCCAAAGAGCCGTGACAACTCCCACTTTGTGTGTGATTCTTTACTTTAACTCCACCCCTTGTCAAGACCCTGCATTTACTTCTCTAACAACCCCATCATAAATAATTAAAAAACCACGGGGACTCCCCCATCCTTTCAAGGGCCCACTTTTTAAAATGGGGGAAAAAATTTTCCCCTTTCCTACATACTCTAACTTGACCTCACTATCCTCGTAAAAACTCTTCACGCTTTCAGTAACCTACCTCCTACACCATACACTTAACATCTGCCACAGCCCCCCCTATCCCCCGTCATACGCCTTTTTTCCCAAAACCCTAAATGCCACAAAACCTTTTAGCCTTACTAAATACGTTCACTTATATGTTTTACTGAAAAAACCGGGCCACACACCCCTACCTTTCCTAAAGCCTCCTTGTTCATCTGCTATCCTATTCTCCCCTCTTACTCTTAATTTTCAATAATAACTCTACCATACACTTTACCAGGGATACTCAGCAGACTTATCCCCCTATAATTTTTTCACTCTCTTTTATCCCCTTTGCCTTTATACAAAGGAACTATGCATGCTCTCGCCAATCCCTAGTAACCTTAACCCTCTTCCATACATTTATTAAATAATTGAACCAACCACTCCAAAACTATATCCCCACCTGCTTTAAAAATTTTTTTATCTTTATCCCATCAATCCCGGCTGCCCCTTTCCCCCTTTCATTTTTCCTACTGCCTCACGAACTTCCCCCCCACTCACAACTGGCTCTTTTCCCCCACTCCTACAAGATGTTATTCCTCCTTGCCCTATACACGAAATCACAGCTTCCCTATCTTCATCAACATTTAACAATTCCTCAAAATATTCCCTCCATCTTCCCAATACCTCTAACTCTCCATTTTAATAACTCTCCTCTCCTATTTTTAACTGACAAATCCATTTGTTCTCTAGGCTTTCTTAACTTTTTTAATCTCACTCCAAAACTTTTTCTTATTTTCAACAAAATTTTTTTGATAACATCTCACCCCCACTCTCTCATTAGCTCTCTTTTTACATTGCTTCACACCACCTCTTACCTGGAGTTTACCGGGAGAGATTTTTCGGGGGTCAACGCCCCCGCGGCCCGGTCTGTGACCGGGCCTCCTGGGGGATCAGCGCCTGATCAACCAGGCTGTTGCTGCTGGCTGCACGAAAACCCAAACCCGTACGAGCCACAGCCCGGCTGATCAGGAACTGACTTTAGGGGGCTTGTCAGTGCCAGCTTGAAGACTGCCAGGGTCTGTTGGTAATCCCCCTTATGTGTGCTGGGAGGCATTGAACATCCCCCGGCCCCTGACACTTATTGTATGGTCTCTTAAACGTGCTAGTGACACCCCTGCTTTTCATTGGGGGAAGGTGCATCGCTGCCAAGTCTTTTTGCTTTCGTATGAGTGATTTTCGTGGCAAGTTCGGTACTATCCCTCAAAGGATTTTCCAGGTGTAATAATCATGTATCTCTCCCCTCCTGCGTTCCAGGGAATACAGGTTTAGAAACCTCAAGCGCTCCCAGAAATTGAGGTTTATCTCCGTTAGCGCGCCGTGAAAGTTCTCTGTACATTTTTCTAGGTCGGCAATTTCACCTGCCTTGAAAGGTGCTGTTAGAGTGCAGCAATATTCCAGCCTAGATAGAACAAGTGACCTGAAAGGTGTCCATCATGGGCTTTTGGCCTCCCAGTTTTGAAGGTTCTCATTATCCATCCTGTCATTTTCTAGCAGATGCGATTGATACAATGTTATGGTCCTTGAAGGTGAGATCCTCCGACATAATCACTCCCAGGTCTTTGACGTTGGTGTTTCGCTCTATTTTGTGGCCAGAATTGTTTTGTACTCTGATGAAGATTTAATTTCCTCATGTTTACCAAAATCTGATAATTGAAATTTCTCATCGTTGAACTTCATATTGTTTCTGCAGCCCACTGAAAGATTTGGTTGATGTCCCCTGGCCTTGCAGTGTCGCAATGGAACACTTCATGCAGATTCGGTGCATCTGCAAAGGGAAAACCGGTGCTGGGCGACATCCCTTTTTTATGTCGGATATGAGGAGGGAACAAGATGGGGGCTAGTACTGTGCCCTTTTGAACAAGCTTTTTTACCGTACTGCCTCGGACTTTACCTGTTTACGACTACTCTCTTGTTCTGTTTGTGGGGAAATTAAACCATCGACCGACTTTCCTGTTATTTCCCTTTTTGGGGGCTTTTGTGTGTATTACGCCATGGGCCACTTTTCGAAAGGGTTTTGCAAAGCTGTTAATTACTCTGCATCTTTTTTTCTTCTAGTGCTTTTTGGGCCTGTCTAGGATCCAAAAGTTTAGACAGACAGGAGCGACCTGTTTTAAACCCATGTTGCCCTGGGTTTTGTAACTGATGGTTTCTAGATGGGTGGTGATCTTGCTTCTTAGGACCCTTTCAAAGATTTTTATGATATGGGATGTTATTTGCTATTGGTCTGTAGTTCTTTGCTGTTGCTTTACTGCCCCCTTTGTGGAGTGGGGCTATGTCTGTTGTTTTTAGTAACTGGGGGACGACCCCCGTGTCCATGCTCCCTCTCCATAGATGGAAAAGGCTCGTGATGGGGGCTTCTTGCAGTTCTTGATGAACACAGAGTTCCATGAGTCTGGCCCGGGGGAAAGAGTGCATGGGCATGTCATTTAATCGCCTGTTCGAAGTCATTTGGCATCAGGATAACATCGGATAGGCTGTGTTAATCAAATTTTGTGGCTCTCTCATAAAAATTCATTTTGATCTTCGACTCTCAGTCGGGTTTAGGCGGCTTGCTAAAAACTGAGTTCATATTGGACTTGAGTAGCTCACTTCTTTTCCCTTTTGTTGTCATCTGTGTAGGATCCATCTTGTTTAAGTAGGGGCCCAATACTGGACGTTGTTCTCGATTTTGATTGGCATAGGAAAGAAAACTTTGGGTTTTCTTTTTTCGATTTCATTTATGGCTTTTAGTTCTTCCCGCGATTCCTGATCCTAAAGGATTCTTTTAGCTTAAGTTCGATGCTTGCTTTTTTCTCTGACCAGTGTCTCCCTGCCATTTCAGATAATTGACCTCTTTTAGCCGCTCTGTTATTCTTTTCCGCCCGCCTGAAAAGGGGAGCGCCTGTCCTTTTCTATTTTAACATCACTCCTCCTTTTTCTTAGGGGAATAAGCCTTGTGCATACATCGAGTGCCACCGAGTTAATCTGTTCTAGGCATAAGTTTGGGTCTGTGTTGCTTAGTATATCTTCCCAGCTTATATGGGTTAGGACTTGGTTTACTTGGTCCCATTTTAATTTTTTTTGTTATTGAAGTGAATTGGTGAATGCTCCCTCGTGAC